CTGATGACATCTCAGAGCCTTATTTCCAATTTTTCTCTCCAAGTCCCCTACATTCAAGAAATAACATTATGCCCTTACTTTCTGAACCACTCCTCCCTCTCACCTTCCCTCTGCATGATGAACTGCCTTCCTCTCTCAAATACCTTCCTTTACAATGAAATTAGTGACAGAACTGTACCCAGAGGAGGGGTTGTTCTCACTGAGCTAGATCTCCATCTAATTTAGTAGAACATCAATTTACAACATAAGCTCCTCGGCTGCCTAGAATATAGCTTAGCACGCAGAAGATGCTTCATACATATTTTTGTCGAGGGAAGTAAATAAATAAGAAATAATAGTATTAATACACATATTATTTAGAGTTGTGGAGGTAATCACCATCAAGACTAGAGCAAGGATGGTTTGAAGTCATTGCCTCTGAGTAAAATGACTCATGCAGGGAAAGGAATGAATCAGGAGTCTATTGCCTTTATAATGTGCCTTCAGGGAGGAGTCAGCCTAGTCCCCACTGAAGTCTTTCTTTGGCCTTTCTAGCTGTGATAACCACACCTTCCCCATCTGAAAATTAAAAACCACTCACTGGGGAGCACGAAGTCACCCCGTTTTTACCTGCAGTTGCTTTTACCATGTGGCTCTATTAACCTTAATAAAAATCCAAACACTAAGTATATTTTACAAATCAGTCAGCTTCTGTGCTTTGCCACTGGTGGTTTCTGGATTGCATCATAAACAAAAGCCCAAAAGCCTCCAGCAAGAGTTCTTTCTTCACTCTCCTTCCTGTAGCCTAGAACAACGCGCCGAATGGAAGAAATAAACAGACGCCAACAGAGAGGAACACAGCCCTTTCACATGCTCAACGCTGTTTCTTTCAGAATGGTTACTAAGTCCTTTTCCCATCAATCTTCTCATGAACCTATGCCCAGAGTCCACTGAAGTCCCCAGCTACCCCACCCCTCGTCTCCTCCCGTCCACCGTGAGTCTCAGGCCTCCTTGGCCCTGGGACTTCGCTCTCAGCACCCACAGACCGAGCCCAGGACACATCAGATTAGCCTGACGCTGAGGCTGAGCAAGGACGGCATGCCATACTGGAGATGGCACAGCTTAGGCCAAAATAAACGTTTAAGCCTGAAATGAAAGAAGAGAGACAAAGAGCTGCAGGTAGGAGGAGGGTGTGTGCTCCAAGCCTGCTTCTGCTGCCCAGTGGCTGCGGGTCCCTGAACGAGTCACTTCTCTGGACGGCAGGCTGCTGCTCCCCGTGAGATGGGGACAAAACCCTGCCTTGTCAGCCCATAGGGTGCTGGTGATCAACGGGGGAGATCCTGGGTGTTACAACTGGGGGCGCGCTGAGGCTCTGTATATTTTGAGACCTTTGTTATCATACATTGGGCTGCAAAGAGGAGGAATCGTTTTATTTCCCCCTGGTCTGGAACTTTGAGTCACAAAGCAGCTAAGTCAGCAGCTTTGGGGCAGCCCTCAGGGAGGAATTCTGGCCTCTTGCCTCCTGTCCTACTTGTTAAAATCCAGCACATTATTCTAGAATAGAATGCATCATATAGATGTGAGCTTTAATAGCAAGCCCAGAGGGGCCGCGGGCTGTAATCCAGGCCCTCCCCGCAGGACCCCAGAGCACAGCCGTACTGACTCCTGTGTTCTCTCCTCGGGCTTCACCTTTCAGACCCAGATTCAGAAAATGGGCATTGAAGGCCTACTGCTTCTGGGGGTGATTCACGGCACTTAGCTGAGTCCCAACAACTCTGCGAGGCAGGTGTGCCTCTCACCCCATTGTCAAGATGAGGACTGAAGCTGAGAAAGACGAAGTGAGTTACTCAAGCCTGCCTGGAATTCAAGGCCCAGATCTCCTCTGTCTGAGCTCCTGGGCTTCGTGGTGACCGGACCAGGAAACCAGCTATGGGGGATCAGAACCGAGCTCCAGGCTAGGCTGGGCCAGAAGTGGTGAGCCCACCACCACCCTCCCTTCCTGCAAAGCACTTGCTCTCCAGGGGGTTCTAGAGGCTTCCAGGAGGGCCTTCTCTTACCCAGCTGCCAGCCTAGGGGAGACGTCCAGAGAGTCTGTCTTCTCCGGTCTGTTCCTGGTTTCTCCACTTGAGGGGGCCCTTGCAACCCAGGACCTGGGCCTAAGGGCATACAGCCAGGGACTGTGACACCCAGGACAAATCTCCAGGCTCTCCGTGTGGCAGGGCACCCTCTCCAGGTGGTGCACCAGCATCAGTCTCACCCAGGCTGGGCAGACACGGCTCGTGCAGGTTCCCAGCCGGCCAGGGCCTCACCTGAGAGCAGCCCAGTTCCCTGCGTGTACCTGGGGACCATTACTATAGGTTCTAGAAGGGTCTTTTGGTCTGTGGGCAAGGTAGGACTCAGGAGAGAGGGCTGTCATCCTGGAGGTGAAGCAACCGCCACATTCTCTAAGGATTCAGGAGGCTGCGCCATCTTTTTCTCAGAGTTCATTCTACTCTCTGGGCACTTGATGTAGATTCCTGTTAAGGATTAGGAGACACTGGCTCTAGACACCCTTATGCCAGGAATCTCACTGAGTCTCTGAATCTGGAGGAGGCCCTGGAGGCAAGGCTGGGCTCCCAGATAGCATAGGCTGCTCCCCCAGTGGAGGGTGTGGGTGTCCCCACAGGCCTGGCAGAGGGCTCTGGCCTCCTCTCTCCAGGTGGCTCCCCTTTCTACAGCTATGCTTCAGGGCAGCCCTTGGGCTCTCCAGCTCCCACCTGGGCCACAGGAAGGGACATGAGCCTCTGAGGGCTTGTAGCTCACAGCTTCCTCCCACCTCTCCGACCACGGCCGGGGACTTCCGGGTCTGGGTTTGAGGGAGTCAGTCTGCGGCTGTATGACCTTAGGCCCAGGTCCTGGGTTGTAAAACAGCACTGAGGCCTGGGCCCATCACCTGGGGCCAGGCACAGCTAGGAAGGGCTGAGGACCGGAGGGGAGCAGCTCAGGGCTGCTGTGGAGGAGGACGGATGTGGAGGGGATGGGCAGAAGCTACAGCTTAGGCCCCTTGTATCCTCAGCCTCTGGGCCTTCAGGGAGGAGCAGCTTGGCCTCCATGGCCCCTGGCGGCGGCTAATAAGGATCTAAGTCTGACACTGGCATTCTGAAAGGGCCGCTGGATGCAGCCAGGGCAGGCAGGGCTCCTGGCTGGGACTCCGTACGCAGGCCATGGAAGGGATCTCTGGGGCCGGAAATGGGCAGGAACTGCCCCTCAGCAGGGTGAAGGCTGCAGGGTTGGGGCAGGAAAAGGGACAGTCATAGAATTTCAGGCCTCAAGTCTGAGGTGTCTTTGAGGGTTCTGGGCACCAATCTGAACTGGAGGCCATTCAGAGAGAATCCATGTATCCTCCAGCACCCAGAGAGAGGGAAAGGATTGGGGAATGCCTGGAACATGACTGGACTCGGTTGGAGGCCTACAGGAGTCACTTCCTTCCCTGCAGTCTCTGGAAATAAGCCCACAGGTCCCTCATTCTGGGCTTTCTTGGGTCAAGCAGGAGAGGTCACTGCTGGGCAGGGTCCTGCCAAGTTCTCATGGCACAAATCCAGGAGCTCACAGGTGGAAGGACCAGACTGTGAGAGTACGACTTAGGGCAGCTGTCCTGGACAGACTGGGAGGGCCTGGAAGGGTCAAGCAACAGTTAACCCCTCCCACCTCCGTATCTCTTCCCCCAAAGGCTACAAGAAACCCACTTGTCAGGACAACACAAGTCTAAGCAAAGGCAGAAAACTACCCGGCCGGGTGGTAAGTCAGGGAGGTCCTGCGGGTCCCGAGTGACAAGCAGAGCGTGGCTGTGTGACTGGGGACAAGCTGTGAGCAGAGATTCTGGTAGTTCTGGGCGTCGGGGGACCTGGGGGCAGGTACAGTTCCCACACCTGGGCCAGATTGGGGGCAGGCTAGCTCCCACTAGGATGGGGAAGAGAAGTCAAGGATATTAGCTGGAAGACAGGATTCCATTCCAAGAGTTTTGAAGGCAGGATCTCGGGTGGAGGAGGAGCAAGACTGGACCTAGGTTCTAAGGGCAGGAATCGCAGCACCAGGGCCAAAGCGGACGGGCAGCCACGCTGCCTTGGGCTTATTTCCCAAAGCGACTGACCCAGGGCTTCTTAAACACTGATTTTTTCCTTAATAAAAATAAGATTCGTGTACCACAGTAACTAGAGCCAGGCTGAGCCTTTACCGGCTCTATGTGGAATCTGGTACAAGTTACTGGAAGGAGGCTGGAGAGCCAGGAGGGGCCTGGGAGAACCCACCACTAGATCCCTGCTTGGCCTTTCATAAACCTCATCGCCAGCTTGGGCCTTAGAGACCTCATGAGTGAAAGGGGGTGCTGGGTCACAGCAGAGCTTTCCAAACTGTTGTCTGTGAAGCCCAGCAATCTGAGCAGGTGCCCATGGGCCTTTATGGGAGTCAGACAAGGGAGACCAGAAACCCCCTACCCACAGCTGCCTGGAGCACTTCCATTTTTAAGTTTGACACATTGGGTTTCCATGTAAGATTTTACAGAGAAGCCACAACAAGAAAAGGAATGAAAGGAAAGGAAAGGGGGAAACAAAGAATAGAAAAGGAAAGGAAAGGAAAGAAAGAAGAGAAGACAAGGGTTCTGAGCTGGAGGATCTCCAAGCTGCTTCGGTCTCATTCTTCTCTGACTCACCACGATGCTCTTCTGCCCACATTTTCCAGAACCACTTCTGTTCCTTCCTGCCATCCTCTCAGGGAACAAGCCATCCAGAAGCCCAGAAAAAGCCACTGGTTCGATCTCATTTCCCAGCTCAGAGGAGGGCTGGCGCACAGAGGAGGAAATTGGGGGGTTTATGTGGGCTGGGAGGGAACAGATTTGATGCCCTGAGCTGTAAATCAGGCTCAGAGGTTTGGATTCCTTGCTGTGTGACCCTCAGATGCCCCCTCCACTCCAGACACTGGCGCGCTAACACCCAGGCTGTCCCTGGAAGCCGGGCCCACTCTGACGAGTTGTTTTGATTTTTCAGGAAAATCTACTCAAAGCCAAGCCTTCCCTCCCAAAAACAACACAGGCAGGGATTTTCGATGTGCTGAGAGATGAAGGGTTTGGGTCTCTACGCCACGGTCCAGCCGGTGAGACGCACAGACAAGATCCACACCTGAGACAGCACCTATGGCTCCTCCCTGCTTCTTCTCTTTGCTCTACACACCTCCCACTCTGGCCAAGGCTCTGGGCTTCCTGACATATTTTAAATGGCTTTGCTCTCCCACTTGCCAACCTGACAACACCCAGCCCACAGGTCCAGGAATTCCACAATTGCTTGGAGATGTGGCAAGTCCATCTTGAACTGGGGGCCTCTGTCATGGGCACACACACCACTCAGAGAGGGCACTCTGCTGCCCCTCACCCAAGAGGAGGATTGGTTAACACCATCTGAGCCTGTCGGGTAGCAGGGTGAGCTCTAGGCCAGGAGTCAGAAGAGGAAATCCCTGGAGCCAGCACCCACGGACCCTCCCTCCCTGTGAGGGCCGGTGACTCAGTTCCTCTTTCCAAACCTGTTTCCCCACCCATGAAATGTGGGAGAGCCTTCACTCTCTCAACCAGTATTGACCACATGCCTGCTCTCTGGTGAAGTGGTTCTCCCTGACCAAGTTCACAGCTCAAGGGATGGCATGGAAGCCCCATCAGTGGAATTCACTCTGGAGTCAGCAGGGTATCTGATGTCAAAGGCAGTCCTGCCTCTGGAAGGAAGATGAATGAGAGGTGTTCTCACCCCTCGTAAGCTCGCAGTGCAGCGAAGGGAAGTGTGATGGCCAAGGATCACCGCCTAACAGCGTGGTGAATGCCCCGTTAGCTCTTCCCTGCTGTGACGTGGGCACAGAGAGGCCGGTCCTCCAGTCTGTGCCCCTGAAGAAGTCACAGCTCAGTTGAATTTTGAAGGCTGAGCACTGAGCAGGGAAAGGGAGATGCAGAGAAGAATACGAAAAGGAGAGAGTTTGGTGGGCTGGAGGGTTTCAAGTAATTCCTGGAGGACGAGGCGCTGCGGGGTGAGAAGGGCAGGCAGGGAAGAGGTGAGGTAAATCAGATCTCCTTGTGTTTCAGCGTCTGGGCTTTGCTCTTTCCTTCCTGTTGTCGTCGTTTTCCTGAAGGCAATGGGGAAATGCTGCAGTGCCGGAGAATACGATCATCACGTTCGTATTTTAGAAATCGAAGCTGGCTGTCTTGTAGGGCGTGGTTTGGAGAGGAGAAGAAGTGGAAGGCGAGGAGATCACTCAGGAAACAAGTACGGGAGGTGATGGTGTCGCCACCCCTGCCAGGCAGGATGGGAGTGAAAGAGGACGCAAACTCGAAGACTAGAGTAAGGGCTGTGAGTAGAGGAGCCGTCTCCATTTCTGACTTTCTAGGACTCGACAGCTAAAGAAGTCTGCCCGCACGCACTCCACCTCCCACTTTTCCCCACCCCTCCTCCCACCTCCCACACACCCCGAAGTCTGGCCGGACCCTCCCACTCCCAGGCTGGGATAAGAGGTGTGGCAGCGGGCCCAGGAGTCCCCGCCATCCTCTCCCCCAGCACGTTCTGCTGCCTGAGCAGTTGGCTGCCGCCACGAGTGTTAATTGGAGAGACATCTGAAGTGACCAGACTGGTTACTCCGCAGCCACGATAGACACACTCCATCTGCTCCAGCAAGGCGCGTCTCCGGCACACAGGAGGCCAGCTCCCTTCCCTGAGCCCGGGACTTGTGAGAAGTGAGCCTCACAGAAGTTAGATTTATAGGCTTTCAGACTGAAGACCCCCCCAGGGAACACTGAGCCCAAGCTCTGGTTTGATGAGAAGAAAACTTAAGGCCGAGCGTCTCCCAGGGTTACTCTTGGACTCAGGGCCAGGAGGTCTGCCCGCCCATCCTCTGTAGGGCACTGAGCTTCTAAAATCGTAAGCTATAGGGAACTATATTTAGTACCTTGTAATAGTGTATAATGAAAAAAAATGTGAAAAGGAATATATATATATATATGTGTGTGTGTGTGTGTGTGTGGTGTATGAAACACTATGCTGTACGCCAAAAACTAACACAACATTGTAAACTAACTATATTTCAATTAAAAAATTAAAAGTTGAAAATTAAAAATAAATAAATAAATAAATAAAATAAACAACAAGGTCCTACTGTAGAGCACAGGGGACTCTATTCAATATTCAATACCTTGTAATAGCCTATAATGAAAAAGAGAGTATGAAAAGGAATATATATATATATATGTATAACTGAACTCATATGCTGTATACCAGAAGCTAACATTGTAAACCAACTACACTTCAATTTAAAAAAATAAATAAAATACAATAAAAGTTTAAAAAATTTAAAAATAAAAATAAAATCATGAGCTGACCAGAATTGTGCCCGCCACAGACCTGCTCAAACTGTCCTCTAACTGGTAAATGTCATGACTAGACTTAAGGATGAAATTTTCATAGAACCCATTGATTTCTTCGAAATGTTTTATTTAAGTTACTCTATTATCTAGCTGGAAGGGACTTAAGAAATAGTTCAGTCCAATGACATTCTCACTGATATTTGCTTATTTAGTGTTTGTTTTGTTTTATTTTAGTAGCAGAGCCTTTTTCAGATGATGAAGCTGAGGCTCAGAAAGGAGACACTTGGGCAAGATGACATTAGTGAGTAAGTAGCATAATATGGTTGGAACCAAGCTCTTGGAACCCCAAGCACATATTCCACTTCTATCATCTTGTTTGGTCTTCCTAACAACTCCCACTGTTGCCCACCCCCGGGCCCACCACTGATGGGGACAGGGAGGAGGAAAGCTCCATGATGAATAAGCGTCTGTCTGATCTTAAGCTCTAAAATCTTCCAGAACAGACTCTTTTAATATTACCTAATAGTGGCATGGCATTGTCTAATTATTTATTCAGTCTCACACATATAATCCAATGTTCACTGTGAAGAATGTCGTGTATGCCCATTTTACAGAAGACACGGAGAAAAGAGGAGTGAATAACCACACTGTCAGCAAGAGGGAGGGCCAAGAGCCAGCTGTGTCAGTGCTCGGGCCCCACCAGGGGCCCCTGTACCCAGGAGCTCCCGCTCATCCTGACAGTGCCCACACTCTCCTCAGTCGCCTTTGTAGACTGAACTCCAGGGTGAAGGGCGAGAGCCCCAGTTGCTAAGCCGCAGCGTCACATATAACACTGCCACTCCCTTGATCGTAGTTCATCAACGGGGAGACGGAGGTCATTAAAGAGGCTAGTCTGGGACCTGCAATTAACTTGGAGCAAAAGCTTCCTGAGGAACCAGCAGCAGTTGGAGGTCTCAGTGAAGAGAAGAGGGACATCTCCTTCCTGAGAATCACATAACACTGGGACGCCCCAGCATGGCCTCCTCTGCAGCCCTGGTGCTGAGGAGGTAAGCAGGTCTGCCATGTCCGCCAGAAGGACAAAAGCGAAGCTGTGTGGCCCGTCCTGACATCAGCAGGGTCTGCAGTGCGGTAAGACTGGGTGCTGGGAGGACTAACTAGGTGCTCGTAGAAGGCCCTGGTCATTGTGGGCGCATCCTCCATCTGGATGGGGGACAGAGGACCAAGCCCGGGAGAGACTCGGGACAGGTCATCCCCTTCCACCAAGGACACTTTCAGAATACGTTAAATCTGGCTACAGTGACCCTGAGAGGGAGAGAAAGCTGTGCAAAATGCAGCTCTAAGCAAGACTATGGCTTTTTATGGAAGGGGGCTTCAAACACATCCTAATTTAGCCTATTTTTGATCATGTGGTGATTGAGTCACTTGGCAATGACAGCTGCCTGATTCTTGGAAGCAGCTAACAACTCTCCCACGACAGTAATAGTGATAAAAATAATAAGAATAGCAGTGGGAGTTATTAGTATACATATATATTCCAATAACTACTATGATTTTAAGGACAGCTAACAGATGTAAACGGTTTTTAGCCTACGACAGTCTCACCGCTCATTACTGCATTTGCTTTTCACAAAACTCATAAGCAGGGCAGCAATGGCAACCACACTCATTTGACAGAAGAAGAAACAGGCCCAGGGGCTAGGAGTGGGTCACCCAAGTCACAGTGAATTAGTGGCAGAGCAGCCAGGATTTGGAGCTGGGAGAAGAGAGGAGCAAAGTTTAGTCATCTGGACCCACCAAGTCCCACAGAAGAGGGGTGTGGATTTCCCTTTAGAAAGGGATGCGTTTTGTCCATCCTCCTGAGCAAGGAGACATTAGAAGGCTGCACTGTTGAATGGGGAGTCAAGACTCCCAGAGACCCAGCTGTGTATGTGGGATGTGCCTTAAAGAAACACTTTAAAAGGGGAGATTCTCACCTCTGAGCCTTGAGCACAGAGTGGACAACTTTCACAGCTGCCGTGGTCTCACCTACGTGACAGATGCCAGAGAACCAATGGAACAGAATGAACAAAAGGCCGTGTAGATGCACCTCCGGCATTGCTCCTAAATCACGCTTACTGTCTGCCTTGTCTGTCGGCTCCTGCTGCTCCGATATGAGAACCTTCTTGATGTCCAAGACTTTATCTTTTCTTTCTGTGTCCTCAATGCCGTTTACACTGCCAGGCACACAGCAGTGTGCGGTATGTGCTGAACTCATGTGTGCATAGAGGAATAAATGGGTACGTCAAGACGCAACTGACTTGGGACCTGGGGAGACAGGAAATGCAACTCAACTGAGATAACCTGCTCCTTGGTGCCAAGAACTTGGTCTCTGTGGATCCTTCCCTATCGGACCTCTAATATGTATTCTCTCAGAAAGTTCAGTGAGAACAAAAACATCATGGAGTCTGGAAGACGAAAGGTTAAATAGTGGCGTAAGCCCCAAGGCATCACTATCAGGCACTGCTTAATAAATGCTGCATAGATGTGCCCCCACCACACCAGGCCTGGCAACGCAGTGTTGCGAACCTGCTGGAAACCCAGCCACCTGAAATGACGCCCTGTCGCAGTTCCAGCCCACCTGGCTTCACACAGACAACAGTTTTATTCTAGTTCTGGGACTTCACCCAAAAGACTATTTGATTTAAATGCAAATACCCCAAAGAGGGCATTGGATTTAAATTCAAAAGCATAGCAGGTATCTACATGTGAAAAGCTCTGTGTTGGGTGCCCAGGGGATAAGACAACTAATCTGATTGGTCCTTGCTTTCAAGGAGTTTGCTATATTATGAAAGACAAGATAGTACCAGGCAAATAAATAAATGTTAAGTAGAGAATATTAGTTTCCTCTTGCAGCTTTAAAAAATTACCACCCACTTAATGGCTTTAACTGACACAAATCTATTGTTAGACAGCTAGCTCTGGAAGTCAGAAGTTTAAAATGGGGCCGCTGGGCTGCGTTGTTTACAGATGCTCCAGGGGAGAATCTCTTTCCTTACCTTTTCCAGCTTCTAGCGGCCAACTGCATTTCTTGGCTCCCTGCCTCCTTCCTCCGTCTTCAAAGCCAGCGGTGGAGCAGCCTCTCTGCTCTCTGACCTCCTGCTGCTCTTTTATAAGGACCCTTGTGATTACACTGGATCCACCTGGAGAACCCAGGATAATTTTCCCATTTCAATCAAGATCCTTAATTTAAGAACATCTGCACACTTCCTTTTGCCAGGTGAGATAACATGATCCCAGATTCTGGGGATTAGCACATGGGCGCTGCCCGGGACCATCATTCTGTCGAGGACATAAAGGAACAGTTAGAAGCTTTGGGAGGACAAAGAAAGCCACGGTGAATTCCAGCAAGATGCTTGGGGTCAGAAGGGCGTCACAAAGGAGGCAGCATTTGGACTGATCCTGAAGGACAGGTAGGATTTTCTAGGGCAAGAAGACCAAGGAAATGATGACAGATAATCGGGTGAGAGTGGAATATAAGATCTAAGAATATAAGATACAAGATCATGGGAGGGAAGCAGTGGCAAAAGAGGCTACTGGAATCATCAAGGCCAAACTGAGGATCGCTGCCAGTGCCCCGTGAAACCATTTGTGTTCGTTTTTTTAAATTTTTTAAAATTTTTATTTAAAAATTTTTAAATTTTAATATATCTTGATTGAAGTATAGTCAATTTACAATGTTGTGTCAATTTCTGGTGTACAGCACAATGCTTCAGTCATACAGGAACATACATTTATTCGTTTTCATATTCTTTTTCAACATAAGTTACTACAAGATATTGAATATAGTGCCCTGTGCTATGCAATAAAAACTTGTTGTTTATCTATTTGTGTTCTTTACGCAGGGAGTCCTCAAACATTTTTTAGAAATATCCTGTCCTTCTAACGACAACATGAGGGTGCAGAAGAGTAAGGCAATCCATTTGAAGTTGTAGTAGCCAGACCAAAAGATGATGACCTAAACCACTGGCAATGGGGCTGGAAAAGAGAGGGAGGTATAGTGACACTGAAGAGCTAAATTACATATAGAAGGAGGAACCTGGCAGAAACAGAGCTATGAATACAATAACTTGATACCCTTGTACTAGATGAACCATTAGCCAAAGTGTGTATAGGAAAAAGAGTTTTGGGAGAGGAAGGGAGGGCTTCAGGTTAGGACATGCTGTTGAATTCAAGGTGCCTGTGGGGCATCACAAGTGGAGATGCCAGCAGGTCGGTGGGGGTTCAGAATTGGACGGTCACTTACCACTGGCGGCCACGCATCTGTCTGGTGCAAGGGTCACGGCTAACATAAGTTTTTAAATGAGGTGCTGAGAATTGTCATCATGTGGCAGAAATTCCAGTTCTCAAAATCGAAGGAATCATGACAAGAAGCGCACTGCCACCCCTAGGCTAGCGATTCTCAGACATGACGTTTCCAGGGGGCCACAATGAGGGAGCAATTGTGCGTGCTGTCTTCAAAGAAACAGGAACAGAGCCCCTGTGTCCCCGTGATCAAAGCCAGCCTGTGCAGGGCTCAGGCTGTGAGCAGAGGCAGGGAAGAGTGGGTGAGAAGACAGAGCTATCTGGGGGGGGGGGTTCCCTCCCCTCCATATGTATGGGTTTCAACCCAACCCCTCTTCTACTTTCCTGCCTCCATGATCGATTGCCTCTCCTTCCACTTAGATTGCTTTCTCTCTTTCCCATCAAGGGAAAGATGCCACTTCCTCTGCAAAGCCTTCCATGATTCACCTGTAAGGACATAATACTCTCTCCCTACCACCAGTTATATTTTTAAATGATTTCCTGCCTGTAGTATCTAGTATAATCATCTGTGTTAATAAGTATTGCAATCAGTATTATAACATTTTTGTATTTAAGGCTCTCTTCTCCACCAAACTCAGAGTTTCTTGAGAGTGTAGGTTTCGCCTGATCCATTTCTGTGAGCGCTAGCCCCTTATAACGCCCTGAACACCGTCAGTGCTCCTTAAATGCAGGGTGAATGGATTAAAAATAGTTGGTTGGGCACTTATGTTATCCCTTCCTCTCTCTCCCGCCCTTTACTAAACAGACTTTGTGTGACATCCTTGTGGGCAGGGGTCCGTTCTTACTAAACTCCCAAAGCATCCCTTATGGATACTTTTCACATGGCTGGAGCTCAGCCAATTATTATTGAACTCAGTTGTGCTGACGACTTGGACCATAGTGAAGAGACCTAGAATAGCGCGCCCTGGGGCATAAGCCTGCTGAACCAGTACGCATGAGACATCTTTAGGGCAGGAACTCTGCCTGTCTGATTCTCAGCAGTAGCTCCGTATTTTGTGTTTGTCATATTCTAGGTACTCGATAGTCACTGAGTGTTTGACTACCTATAAGACAGAAAAACAACAGAAAGTAAGAAGGATGATTTCTAAGAAAATTCTCTCTCTCCTAACTGTACAACTGTACATTTCATTCTGCATGCCTTGGAAATTCTGAAAAGAAATAGAAATTTCAGTTCCCGTCATTACTGCAATGGCTTGTTCTTTGATATATCGTTGCATTTTCTCAGGGGAGGGTATAGCTCAAGCGGGAGAGTGCATGCTTAACATGCAGGAGGTTCTGGATTCAATCCCCAGTACCTCCTCTAAAAATAAATAAAATAAATAAACCTAATTACCTCTTCCCCCTTAAAAAAAAAAAGAGAAGAAAAAAGAAAATGCATTTTCTCAAACAAAATTTTAAATAAATTTTTTTCAATTTAAAAAAAGAAAAAATGCATTTTTCACTTGATTCTGCAACCATCTGTGGGGGAGGGGAAATTATAGTTATCTTATTGTACAAGTCAGAAAACTTAAAGCTCAGAGAGGTAACGTGATTAGCCCAGGGTCACAGAGCTGTGGCCGAAACTCCGGGTCTCTTGATCCCAAGTTCTATGCTTTCCCATTAGACCTCACAGAGTCTTAGCCCCCAGTCAGGTAAAGCTCGGTACGTGTGAGAAACAGTGCGTGTAAGACAAATTCTCCAGTCTGCAGTTGCTGCCTCTCTCATGCAGGCTTTAGCAGGTGCATTCACTGGGCCATTAAATTCTTTTCTCTATTAATGCAAGGTCAGTCCAACCGTGTCAATACTCTGGGTAGTGAGGCCCAGGGTCTCTGGCCACAGAGGGTGAGAACGTAACGGTGGAAAACATAAGAGTACTTAGGTATCATCCACTTTTAGCTCATTTCCCAGAAATGGAGAAACTGATGCTCAAAGAGGAAGTAACTTTTGAGTTTTCCCAAATCCAGATCTAATTTAAGTCATTGTACCGTAACTTCTCAGTGTCTCACAAAGACACAAGGGCAATCAAAAGTGGATTTCCTGTTTTAGGGAAAAAAATGTGAGCCTGGCCTGCATTTGCCCTGACCTGGTGGGGAAAGCCTGAATTAATGAGGCAACAAGGAATAAGAGGCCCTTATCTCAGGGAGTTGAGGGGAGGGAGCAGTGCAACCCTAGATCCCTCAGAGCAAATCCCACAGCAAGGATGCTATCAGGAGCCCAGGGGGACTGAAGCCACATCCCTTGAGGAGTGGGACAACCTGAGGGTCTCTGCCCCCAGCTCCCCATTGCCTCTCCCTGTGCAGGTGGGCTGGAAACAGGCTGAGCCCACAGGTAAACCTGAGTGGTGCCCCCAGGGGAGGACCCACCCAGAAAGCCCCAGATCTAGCCAGCCTCCAGGGGACACAGGACTTGATTTCTTCCCTAAACTCACTGAAAAAAGACAGTCTCAGTTCCCCCACCTTTTCCTCTGTAAAGCGTGGCAGAGCAGCCAGGGCAATTAAAGGTGATTTCATCACTGACAGACACCAGCATATTGGAACATCACTGTTTTATCTTACTTCTAAAGAAGTAGATCATTTCTCCAATAAACAAGGCAAGAAAAAGGGGTTTTCTGATTTTTGGCATTAAACAGTATTTTCTCCATGAGTGCTTAAAGCGCTCTATACACGGTCATCATTTGATAGTTTATTAGATATTTTCATATTCCTTGTGTCACTTCACCCTGCTAATAACTCTGCAAAGGAGGCAAAACAGGTACTCATTCATTCACCGGGTAGATACTAGGTAATGGCAAGGAGCTGGGCTAGATGCTGGGAAGACACGTGCAAGACATGGCAAAGGGGAAAACAGGCTCAGGAAGATGATGGGATTTTGTCTAGGAGCACAGAGCTGTCCAGCAGGGGAACTGGAACCCAGACCCAGCTCTGCCACGTGGCCATGTCCTTGTGTCCACGTATCTCACCCCTCATCTCTGCACATAGAAACTCAGAAGGATGATCATCTCTCCCTCTTCCTTTCTTCTCCTAATTTACATATTGCTAAATGATGAAATTATACAGTACATAATTCCACAGCAACTCTGCTGCTTAAAAAAAAATTGGGAATGGAGTAATTAGGCAGAAAGGATTCTCAATTAGGCAGTGGATTCTGTTTCTAAAGCAGTAAATGGGGAAGAGATATTTTTTAACTGTCTCTTGCATATATTGCCACAGAATGATTACTGCCTCAGAGAGCAGCAGCCTAGCTCTGAAATGGAACCTTCTGAGCTGGCGTCCAAGCAGAATTTTGTATCTGAGTTTCCTGCCCAGTTCCAGACCCTCAGATTTTGGAGGATCTCCGACACCAAGATAGGCAGTCAGGACCACCACTGAATTCTAGGTGTCTTCTCTAGTTTTCTTTGTTTATTTTGACGTAGGAAATGTAAAAAGAAAAGTCCAGAGGTCTTTCTAGGATCCTTTGTGCTGGGAAGCAACAAAAAAGGATGGAAAGTATCTGAGTTTTCCAGAGCTGGTCCTGAATTCCTGAGCTGCCATCTTCAAGCTGGATGGCCCTGCAGAATTCTACCTCTCAGAGCTTTACTAGGCTAATGAACACTGGTAATTCCAACCCTATCCAAAAATAGTGAGGATGATGGAAAGCAACAGTAAGAGCTGGCATATAGTAGAAATTCTTCCTACTAAAGTTCATTTCTTTCCCTAAAAGGGGATGTTCCCTATGTTCAAATCAAGGTAAGTTTAATAATAATGGGAGGAAAAGGCAGGTTTGTCAAACTGCTATTTTGTCTGTGGCATCAGAGGATGTAACTAGAATCAGTGGGTAGAAATTCAAGTCATATATAGCTCAGTCTAAAAAGATGATTTTTGTAGAACCGTTCAACAGTAGAGCTTTTCAGAAGCTGAGTTTCCCATCACTGGAGATAACCAAGCAATGGTTCAACAACCACTTGGAAGAGATGCTTTAGGAAGAATTCCAGCTGCCAGTTATAGCTGAACAATTTGACTACTTAAGACTTTTCCAAAGCTGAAATTCCGTGATTCTGACTGTGGTCTTCCTTTTGTAGCACGAGGGAAAGACCAACACTGAGCTCATTTGCAAGGACTTGTCTCTGCCCCAAGGAGAATGTGCCCAGATA